ATTTTTATTATGTCCTGATACATAAAACCATAGAACTCAAAGACGGTGTACTTTCTTTTTCACATGATTGTATATAATTTGATCTTAAAAATGCAACAGACTTCTCTTCCTTATGTAGGGAGTATAGCAAAACATGTCTTACTTTTCCACCACGTGCAAAAGCTTCAGCCACCTTCCTGTTACGTCCCCCGTAGCATGTGGTAATCAGATCTGCAACCCCACAGCTTTCCAGAAACGTATTTATTGAGACAGTGCCCTTGCAGAAGATTTTAGCAAAGGCAATCATTTCCATCAGGCCCAGGCGAATCACAGCTGCCTTGGTATTGTCACCAAAGCCCAGCCCGTCACAAAATCCAGCTCCAACTGCCACGATGTTCTAAGTCCAATGGATAGGAAAAATGAGAAAGAAGGGGGGAAAAAAGTCATGAGTTAAAGACATCAGATAATCTTAGGTTCTCCTACATGGGAACCGTAACCATCCCTTTGATACCCACCAGGCTTGCTAAGCAGGCTAGCCCAGATGTTAAATATGGTTTATAGGTTAATATGTACAAACCCAGCTAGCAAAGATTGACTCAAACTATGGCTGAACAAACCACAGCTTAGGGTGTTCTATGAACTTAGTGACTGAAATTACTGCTAAAAATATATGATTCAAGTGTAGCAATAATTCTGTTTCAGAAAGTTGTATAAGACAATGAAAAACATAAAAATAACTAATTTCAACCAATGCTTAAGATCGATAATGAACTTGTAATCAACAAAATCAATTGGATTCACAACTAGAAACCACTATAGTACTAGTATTTTTAAAGCTTTGCTACATTCTTCTTAAAAATGTTTATATATGCATATATTCCAAAGAGTGTTTTTACCCCAACATAATGTCAGTGACTGGGTTTACACATCATGTCATGGCTTGGTTAACTGTAGCTTACTTGGTAAAGTCCACAGTGATCTGGGTTCATATCACATATTAAGCTATAAGCCATGATTTCTAAGCAGCTTGCTATACCAAACCCAGATCAACTACAATTGTAACTGTTTTGTATGAATACGACAAAGGTCTTTGGTGAAAAAAACTGATTAAGTGCTGCTGTGCTGAGTCTCACAGTGGGAATAAAATGGGGGAGCATATTTAAGAAAGTGTAACTTTAATAACCCCATTAGAGGTTAACAAAATTTACAAAACAAGGTTGTGAAAAAAGCAAATGAATTCTCAAGAATCCTTTGAGAAGTTTTGGCCCTATTATATTTTTCAAGTTTCTAATAGCAAAAGAGAAACAGCTGATAAAATGTACCTGTTTACTGATTTGGGGGCTAGAAGTAGCCCACATCTTTTTTTTCCTTTGTTTTAAGAGCTTAAGGTGCTATGGAAACCAAACAAAGTTCAGGGAAATAATCCATGTTATGCAGTAAGAAATTCTAGGGTTTGTTTGTTTTTAAACAGGCATTGCCAGTTTAAAACTTATATACATAAAACATCTCTACCAGGCAACATAAATTGATTTGCTGACCTCCAGATCTATTGGACTACAACTTCCATAATTCCTAGCCCACATGGCCCAGTCCTACATCCAGAGGAAACAAATTTATTCATTTTTTAAAAAACATTTGCATAGAAAACACTGGCCAATATCAATAATCTGATTTGTTATAGAACAGTTTTCTAGTATAAGAAAAGACACATTTTCAACTGTAGATGAATCCATGCTTTGCTGTTTTGTCATCAGCTGAAAAATATAATGGGACAGAAATAATATACCATTCCTAGGTGCCACCTTCAGTGCACTTCAGTTTGAATTTGAATCATTCTATGACTGGATTTACTATGCACTGTCAAACGGATCTAAAAGTGCCTGAGATAAGTTTTACTTGGGGAGAAAACTGTCACTTATATTAATAACAGGACAACTTTGGCCTCTGCCTTCACCTTCATTAGTGCCAGAAAAGGTCACATGCGATTAAGATGCTAAAACAGAATACCATGAAAAATGATCCTTATAAAAAAGGAAAACATGCAGGTTTGATTCCTAATTAGTAACCACAGCTGAACAGTTTCCATTAATATTAGAGCTACTGAACAACTAAAATTACTATTGTTTCAAAGGTGTAATTAATCTACTACTTAGAATGTGAAGAAATATTGTTTCTATTTACTGGTGATAAATTCAATTAAAAATCACTGTGTAAGGCTTTTATGCCACATTTTAACAACTAAGCAGAAAACCCAGACTGCAAAACGTCACTTGGCTTTAACAGTGGTTGGATTTACACAAATATTAAATCAAAATGTGATAGCCTTGTTTGTGGCTTAGTGTGTTATGTGAACCCAGCCAGTGAGATAGGTAAACCATGACTGATGGTTTAATGTGTTGTACAAATCTAGCCAGTTGGGATTTATTCAGTAAATTATGCTTAAGCATACTATAGCTTAGCATGTTGTACGAACATATCTACTTCTTTGGAATAACAAACCTTTAAGGCCCCACAGAGTTCCACAGTGTCACAGTCATCCACCACAGTAATTCTGAAATTTGAAGTTTGCATTAATTCTTTGAAGACCTTCCCATTTTTAGCATTTTTAGAACCTAAGAAAAAAAGCACAGGTGTTAGGATTTTAACTGACAATAGAAGAAAGCATTTGACCTGATAGAGTTGCTTCCTGTATGATTTTTCTTGTAAATATGTGTATGTGTATGTCAAAAATATGCAGGAGTTTTGCAGAAACAGTTGCGTAGGGACAATTTTCCTATGAAAATTTACTATCAATGAAGTATTCCAAGTTGGTCAAAAGACACTGAAACAGACAAATGTGTAACCTTTTCTAGACAACAGGCACCATTATATGATATTCTTAATGGTAAAAAATGGCACAGAGTCAATTGAACTGTAGTGGGACATTAATGTAATAAATAAATAAAATTATGATACCACAGGGATAATGAAGGATACTAATTATGGTTATTTTTAAAAAGTATGCATTTTTTTCCTTCTGATTACATTAAATTCATCTCAAGTTTCCTGAAAAGGCTCTACCTCAAGCAATATATGAAGAACTCTTTTTTCTTTTCTTTTAATACTACCCCCTGGATGAATATAGAAATGCTGTATGATAAATCTTTGGATTATGGTAGCACTACCCAGGGAAAAAACATATCTACTGAAGCTACCGTAGTGAGAACACAAGAGGACTAGGCTTCCTACAAGACAAACTTCCTTCATTTGCTTAAAGGAAAAGAGAACTTCAACTTGACTGCATCTCCTAGAAGAAGATAAAAGCGATTGGCTAGTTTTTACATTAATAGTTGTATGGTGGGAGAGCCAGGTTAAAACTAGTTCAGTGTATCATTGCAAACACAGGGACAGTGAGGAAAATCTGGATCTGCAGTACTGACTAGCTGCATCCCTATTGTACACTGCCTGGCTTCATAAACAAGCTAGTTAGTTTGTGATTCAGTGACTCCTGTCACCCCTGAAAATTGAGTTGAGTAAGCTAAGGTTAGGTAAACCACAGTTAATTTAAAAGTACAGTGGTACCTCTAGTTACGAACTTAATCCGTTCCGTGACTCT